TGAAAGTGTAATGGAAAAGGAGGACCTAAAGATATATAAAACGAGAGTGTTTGTTTATGTGGGGAAAAAAGGAAGGTTCTGTGAATGCCGTGGGATGTGAGACACAGAGGCTCATTTTACGTTCCAAGAAGAAGGGGTGGAGGATAGCCCAGATGTCAACATGTAGGGATTCAGAGCAAAGATGATTACCTAGCTGTTTTTATTTTAATTAGAAATTGTAAGTTTATTTAAACATTGTAACAGATGGATATGCTCAGTGCTTATGCTTTAAAGCTACAACTGTATGCTAATGAATCTACTTTACTTTCTTAATAAAACAAATATAATTCTTCAACAGAGGACTAGTCTCTTGATGCAGCAGGGCTATATCTAAATCCAGTGGGGACGAAAGATGGTTAATAGTCGCTACTGTAAGTTAAAAGGTCCTACTTGGTAAGGCTGTTGTGCATTCTAAGGAAACTCAATTGCTTTGGAAGCAATCAAAGGTAACGTTTAAGGTTCAGGCTTGTATGTTGCAGCTTCCTACGCACTTCTGTGGCCTAAGGGACCTACCTCAGGAAGCAAAGGTGGTAGTTCTGTGCCCAGAGGGACTCCCTGACCACAATCTTAGTCTCTTTAGAGATTCAGGATCGTTACACAGGGGTGTCTGCCGAGATGCTGCCTCTCCACTCCAGGGAAGATAGCGGGAAGGTTTTGTTGGAATTCCTGCACCCTGGTATGTTGCCCTTGAAGAGGGACCTCTCAGGACTGGGGTGAATATCAGTCAATCCAGTAGTAGCAACTGTTCCCCCTCTGCCTCAGAATTTGAAGACAGCCATGCCTCTTGACTCAAGAATCCTTTCGCCACCTTTTTCCAGTCAGACAGCCTGAAGAGAGTTAGAGCATTGTAGTTTGTCTTCTGCTCAAGCTAAGCTCTGTTGATGTAACGAGTCAATATTATTTCCACAACATATTTATTTTGATTGATGACAAACTGTGAGTAAAATGGAACTTTTTTCCTCTCAAATCATGTCTGAGTATTGAGACAGTAAGTGCCAGTTGAAGAGAACTAAGCAATAAGGGTGGTCTGCTGTGGGAGACTTGGAGCTAATTCTGCTGTGTAGGTGCCTGAATGTTATTCACTGTGTAGTTAGATTTTTTTTAAAGCCACTAAATTTCCATACTAACAAGAGTTTTTTCTCTCTCTCAGTTCTCCTTTAGAATATCCCCCCATGAAACATGTGGTATCTATTCTCCCAGGCAGCACAGTAATAATAAGCCTCGTTTTTCAGCCTGGGTGCCTGTGAGAGTTAAAAAGCCGGTGTTCCTAGAATTCAGGGATTCCCTTTTCCCTGTGCACAAATCGAGGAGGCTTTCCAGGCTTCTGTTGATGCCACTGGAGATAGTGCCAGTTACAATCAGCACTTAACACGCAGTAGAGTTTCACTATCTGTCCCAGAGACACCGATGCCAAGGCAGGCTGGGTCACGGTTGGCAGTAAACGAAAACCTTGGGAAGGCCAAGAGACAAAAATTATAAGTCTCACAAATCTTCTGTGATCTCAGACACTTTAAAAGCGTTGTTGACTAATGGCAAAGACTCAATTCAAACAGATGCGTAGCTGCAGAGTGTGAAGTTCATTGTGCACAACCTTACCTGAGCAGTAACTGAGAAGGACGGTCAAAAGCAGAGCCCAGGCCGTGGTGAGTTCTCCTCAGGTGTCTGACTTTGCTTCAGAAGGACAACCCGGTAGGTCTTTTGTCTGTTTCTTTAAGTCCTCCAAGACCACGAAACATTCCTTTCATGCAAATGTGTCCTGTAGCCACCGGCCCTGCAAGAGCCCATCTATCCGATCATGTTTGTTACCAGCAAACGAATTAGCTCAGCTCATTAGCGGCCCTGTGGATCAACCGCTGTAAGTAGCAGCGCGGCCAGGCTCTGCCCCACCCAAAGCCTATCTGCGCATTCCCCGTATGTGACAAAAGGGTCATCTAACCCTTTTGGTTGGCACACCCAGAGCCGGTCCCGGCAAGCGAAGAGCGCCGTCCAGCTCTCTTGGCAGACCCAGACTGAGCAGTAAAAAAATATATGAATAAATAGTTGGACTGTCCGGTCATGTTTGCACACCCAAAGCCGGGCTCTGCCCCATCCAAGCCTGTCCAGGTGTTGCCCCATTGCCCGGCTTCAGAGGGCAGACGTCATCTGGTTTTCAACCTGAGCATCTTTGTTTGAAGTTTTTCAGCAAGTCTAGTTAGATGTTGGTGGTGAGTGACAGGTGAGTCTCCAAGGCTTGTCTCAGACCCACCCAAAGCCTGTCTGGGCATCGCCCCATCGCCCGGCTTCAGATGGCAGAACTGATCTGTTTCCGGCAGCCCTGTGGATTAGTAGCACCAACCCTATTCATCTGATGGTGCTGCTGGTGTTGTTGGAAGTTGCAAGGAACCTCAGTTGCTTCCTGGGGGCAAAAACCTTTCCTTTGCAGGCAAATCTGATGTTGCTGAAGAAGACCAGAGTCTGCTCTGCTGCCTTTTGCCTCAGTGCCCCGATGGGACAAGACACGGTACTTTGCTACTGCCAACTACCTCAGTGCCAGATGTGGTCAAAAAAGCCTCTTTTTTCCTGCTGCCTTTTTCCTCAGTGTCTGATGCTTTTTTTCCTGCTGCCTTTTCCCTCAGTGTCTGATGGGGCCAAAAGAGCCTGTTTTCCTACTGGCAACTTCCTCAGTGCCTGACGGAGCCAAAAATTCTGCTGTGCTGCCAAATACCTCCTTGCCTCCAGTCCTCCTGAGGGCAAATTCTACTCGCTGGCAAATGTAATGCTGTGCTGAGCTGAAGACAAACTCGATGCCTCATGCATGCCTCTGCCAAAGGGTCCTCTCATTCTGCTGGGGCTAAATATAACCCCCTCAATGCCATGGGCTTCTGTACCATGTGGTAAACTCTCCTGAATAACTTGGAGCTCCAATATCCGATCTTCACCAAAGTTGGCAGGTGTGTTGGGGAAAGACATAGGAAGCTCTATTGTGATTCTGGAGTCTCTAAGTACCTGGGGGGGAGCTTTCCTTGGGATGTCCTCTTTGCAACTATATAACTTGGGAGTCCGTGATCTAATGTTCAGTAATCCTTCAGGCCTTGTAGAAACACATCTCAGGAAGCCTCTCTGCAAATTTGGTGTCTCTAGGTGGTCGGGGGCCAGTGTTATAGGCATGTAAAGTGCAGACAAATCGATGGTTCAATTCGTCAATGAATATTCCTATATTCGTATTTGTTGATTCGTTAACCTTGATGAATAACAGATCAAAACAAATTGCCATTTTTTTAATTCGTCCCATCTCTAGTGTTTGGCCAGAGATTACATGTCACAGGGGGGCTGGTGACAGCAAAGGCTACCCACAAAGATACAACGGCAAGTGGCATTGACAAAAAAAATATTTGCCAAAGGAAGAAAGCGACATCTGAGCACTGTAGGGAATGTGATTTCATTCAAACAGCCATACATTGAGAATGTCTAAGGGTGCAGCTAGTTGATCTGCGTAGAGCATATTCAGAGCACCTTTGAACCTTCCGTTGAAGACAGCAAACCTTCCTTAACTGAAAAGCAGAAGCTCTTTCTCTAAAGCTAGAGCTCCTCCCAGTGTGTGAGACTCCAGCTGCCCTGATGCTCCACTATTTGGGCATTTGAAACGTGGCTCCCTGTAGGGGGAGATGTTGCTCCATTCATTCCCCTGTTTCGGCTAGCCCACAGATGGAACTATCTGCACCTGTGCTGTGCACTGAAGCCAGGGACCCTTCAGCCCAGCCGGTCGCTTTTCTTCCGGCCCTTCCTGCTCATTCAGGCACGGAGATCAACCAGGAGTAATAGCCCAACTGGGATGCACTAGAGGGAGCCGGACTCCGGTGGTTCCTTTTCATTTGTGCATCGCTTGAAGAGTTAAATCAGGGTTGAATCTTGGAGGTTTGATGCCCTCCGTTTCCGGCTTTCTTTGCCTCCCTTTCGAACAATGTAGAGAGGCAGGGCTGGCCATTCGGCAGAGGAAGGAAACGGCCTCAGACGGCAGATATTATGTATCACCACAAGGGATGGGGACAAAGCACCGAAATGGTGCTTCTTCTTGATTCATGGGTCATCAACCTTGACGACCCATGAATTTCACCCCAGTGGCCTGGCGAATCACGAATGAATTCGTAGGGCTATCTAGTAAAAAAAAGCCCCGGCCCCACAGCCTGCCACCACCCCCTCCCACTGCCACTTCCCTTCCCAGCTGCCTCCTCCTGCTCTGTGGTGACTTCCCTGGAAACTCAAGCTAGACTGCTGGAACCGCGGTTCCAGATCCAGTTCCAGCAGCCTAGCTTTTGCAAGGAACAGAAAGGAGGGCTTCCCCTTCGGCAAGCCTGAACGAGGCAATTCCCCCTCCGCCTTTGCACAGACAGCAGCAGGGGTGGGGGAATCCCTTCATTCAGGCTTCCCCGGCAGGCATAGAAACAAAACAGAAATGGGACCCCAGTAATCCCAGACCCTGCTCTCTTGGCAAAGACAAGTGGGATCCCTTTAATCCCACTTTTATCCCACTTTGATCAAATATGGGTGTCCAGGGGAGGAGGAAAGCTGTGCAGAAGGAGGCGGAGTCAAGTGTGCTGCTGCAGTCACGCACCTTAGAGAGAGAGATTTGTTTCAACCCAGAAGGGAAATTGGTTCTTTGCAGCCACCTATCCCTTCTGAGATATTTGCATACATAGGAAATCTTGGGTTTGGCGAAGGTTCAAAGGAGAACTGCAAAGATCTTCCACCTGTCCTTGTGCTAGAGAGTTTGGAAGCCTTCACCATGGTCAGGCCCTTGATGCTCATTGTGTTTCTGGCTTACTCTGGGGGTAGGAGAAAAATTTAGAAATGCTTCATTAAACACCCCTCCCCATTTTTAATATTGATACAGCTCCTTCAGGAAGCGTCCTCTCATTGTCATCTTCCACTTCCCCTTACGTTTGTCACTGATTTGGGTTTCAGGTAGTGATGGGCAGTTCACGATGTCTCAGCCGCCGTCCGTCTCGGCCGCCATCCGAGTTCTGGCTTACTCTTGGGGTAGGAGAAAATTTTAGAAATGCTTCATTAAACACCCCTCCCCATTTTTAATATTGATACAGCTCCTTCAGGAAGCGTCCTCTCATTGTCATCTTCCACTTCCCCTTACGTTTGTCACTGATTTGGGTTTCAGGTAGTGATGGGCAGTTCACGATGTCTCAGCCGCCGTCCGTCTCGGCCGCCATCCGAGAAACAGTCCAGATCCCCTGCAGGAGAAGCAGCGGGAGTGTCAGCAGCTACTACAACTCTTGGTACCAACAGAAGCCTGGCAGTGCCCCCATATTGCTAATATTTGGCGATGATGCTACAGCCTCAGGGATCCCAGAGCGATTCTCCGGTTCCATTGACGAATCTGCCAACACGGCCACCCTAACCATCTCCAACGTTCAAGCAGAAGACGAGGCCGACTATTACTGTTTATCTTCTGACAGCAGCGGGCAGAGCACAGTGATACAACCCCAGGGGGAAGTGAGACCAAAACCTCCCTCCAGCCGACACTGGGCTTCACTAGGCATCATCTGTACTTGAAGGACAGAGGTCGTCTACAGTTCCCCACAGGGATGAATGGGGCAGGGGAGTGCCCCAATTTTGGGGGATGAGGCACCCATCTGTCTCCATGCAAGAGCTATCCAGGGAAAGAGTAAAAAAGATATGATAGTGGCTTGACTTGATCTCACTCTCTTTTCTGTGAAGCCATCAACCTCCCTCAGCGTCTCTGCTCCTGAGTCTACTGGTAAGATTTTTCCTGCATTTCAGGTGGGAGTTTGTTCAGCATCTCCTGGTCTCCTCTCCACTGGAAAGACCCTCAGGCGCCATCAAAAGCGAGGTGGCAATGAAAGCCATGAAAGATGGAGGCTCAAGCCCAAATAGGGCATACAATTTACATTTTAAATGACTTTTCCCGAGAAGCACATGGGAATCCAATAGCTTGGGGTTACATTTCTACAGGAAGGAGCTCTGGGAACAAGCCTCTCTCTCTCTCTCTGTCCTGCCTCTCTTTCTGCCAGGCCAGGATGGGGAGGGGGTGGGTTTGCCTTTCCAATTTGAGATCCCCTTCCCTAGGAGTGGAAGCAACAGGAGGAGATTCCTAACGCCTTCTCTAAATTCCCTGCCTTTGTGTTGGGGGGCAGGATTGGAAACGGAAATATCTGTGGATCCTGCAGGAACCAGGAAAAAATGACAAACCAGGCTAGTTCTTGGTTTGGTTCTTGAACCAGCTTAGGGATCCAGTTTTGCTGAAGCAAAATGGAGCATTGGACTTCTCCCCCTCCTTTCCTCTTTGTTCTCCTCTGGCCATATGGGATGCCTGCCCACCCCCTTCCCACTGCCCCCATCACCTGTCTCCTCCCTTCCTGCTCCTGCTGCCTCATCCTCCACCAACGCAGCCATCCTCAGAGGCCACAGGCCCAGCTTCCCTGCCAGGAGCAGGATTTGCTGCCTCTGAGCAGGTGCCTGCCTATCAGTCTGTGGCTTCTTTTAGGAAGTCAGACCATCTCATCTTTGGTCTTCCTCTTTTCCTGGTGCCTGCCACCTTTCCCAGCATTCTCTTGGGCTTTGTCTCCTGGTTGGTCGCTGGAAAGTTAAAGTAACTTCTTTGTCTGAGGCAACCCCACAGCTGGACATATAATAGAGCAATTTGAGAAAACATCCATTCCCCTCAATAGCGAGTTGGACCCTAAAAATTACAATGGTGCCCCACATTACGACAATCCTGCTTGATGACAAAATTGCTTGACGATGCCTTTTTATGATCAGTATAGCAATCGCAAAACGATAGTTCCAATGGGGCTTTTTCGCTGTACGACGATCAGGATCCTGCTTCGCGAACCAATTGTTCGCATTATGATGATTAAACAGCTGATCGGCAGTTCACAAAATGGCTCCCCGCTGTTTTGCTGACCTATTTTCGCAAGACAGGGACCGCAAAATGGCCGCCCTATGGAGGATCGTCACTGCACAAGCAGATATTTCCCCCATTGGAACACATTGACCGGTTTTCTATACATTCCAGTGGGTTTTCTTTCACATGACAACGATTTCGCTGTACAGCGATTTTGCTGGAACGGTTTATCGTTGTCATGCAGGGCACCACTGTTCATTTAAAAGAGGTGGAGCTATACAAGGGAAGCTGTTGCAAGTTGAGTTGCTGAGGTTGACAGAACCTCCATGAAGTGCCAGAGGATGGTCTGGCCCAACATGAAGCCTCAAGTTCAAGAGAGCAAATCTTCCTCAAACCCAAAGAACATACAAGAGCTTCAGAAGAGGAGCTGTGTTTGTCTCGGCTTGCATATCAGGCAAAAAGAAAAGAAAGAAAATACAAAAGAAAGAAGACACAAACATTCTGGCACCTTAAAGACCAACTGCTGGATTTTAATGCGAGCTTTCGTGGACGAGTCCACTTCCGCAGAAAGCATATGCACTTTTCTCTGCCTCTGGAGCCACTCCTGATGTGTTGGACTAAACTCTGTTTATGCTCTGCCCTTTGTGTGTGAGAAATGTGGCACATGGTGTCTCCTCTCTTCTCTTTGGCCTCTAGGAGGAGATATTGCTCCACTCATTTCCCTCTATCTAATCATCATCATTCTGTGCTGTTCTCAGAGTTTTCTAGGGAGAGGACTAGTCAGAAGTGGTTTCCAATTCCCTTTTTCTAAGAGCATCCTGGCACTGAGCTGCTTGCCCAAGGCCACACAGGCTGGCTTTTCTCAAAGAAGACCCAGTGGGGGAATCGAACTCCCAACCTCGGGCTCCGCAGCCAGAAATCTAAGCCCCTGCGGTATCCAGCCAGCTGAGCTCTCCATTCGATCGACCTCAGATGGAAAGAGCTGCACCTGTGCTGTGCAGTGAAGCTGGACGTTCATGTGGGGAGATGCATCCTGGAGGCCCTTTCTGCTTACACAGGCGCAGAGATCAAGATGGATCGCCCCCAACAAGTGTGAACCAGAGGGAGCCTGACTCCACTGATGTGTCCCCACTCCTTTTTTTTCCAGTTCTCCCTTGTAGAGTAAAACGTGGGAGGATAAAGCCCCCCACCTCCCTCCTAAGTTCCAACTCACTTGGACTGCCTTTGACAGAAGGAAGAGAGGCATGGCTGGTGAGAAGTCAGTGGCTTCAGACGGCTGCCATGGAGATCTTTGCAGATCACTGCTCTCTCTATCACTTCTGTCCAGTTTATTTTTTTTAATGAATGTCTGTAATTATCAGTAAATGATTATCTTTTTCATGGATTAGCCAAGGAAGCCCAGAACGACGAGACACATTTTTCTGCTTTGCATGTCTTCTGCATGGTTGAAGTTGGGGAATCCAACAAGACGTTTAGCCTCAACGAGAAGAAGAGAGCAACGTTGTATGTGAAGGGGCTTGCATGGCACGCCTTGAGTCACCAATTCCCGGGAAGGGTTCTGTCCTGAAAGCACATGCTCTCAAAAGCAGCCAGAGTGGTTCAGATCCACGTACGCGGCCCTTTAATATGAACATTTCTCCTCCGACTTGGGGACGGCTGACCCTACCACTACCTCCACCAGCAGAGCATAAGGGGCATGGGACTCCTTAATACGAGTGTGAATGTCCCAGCCAATGAGCAGGGATCTGGTTTCCACCAAGGGTCTTTTCTGGGACCTTTTGGAGAGAGACCAGAAGAGCAACTACCCAGATCCAAACATCACGGGTGACCTTTCCATCTGGTTATGTTACTGATATGCAGTCCAGGTGGAAAATGTGCCATATTATTTCTCTGCATCACTTACATGCTTTATTTTCGTGTAATTCCTAGCTGAACTGTTTATTCAATTTTACTAAAAAATCAAATAAGCTCCACTTCATCTCTCCTGCCCCGTCAGATACCTTTGTTCAAGTCACCTTTACTTAACCAGAATCAGCACCCGGATGGACAGATGGACGGACGGACGGACAGACGGATGGATAGAGGTTCTTACAGAGCTAAAAGGCACGGAATACATTTGCATGAAGCAGCTGTTCTTCTGTCCTGGAGGATTTAAGACAGGAGCTCAAGTTCCCCACTTAGTCACTCTCCTGAAGCAAAGTCAGAGGCCTCCAGAGAGCTCCCCCATGGCCTGGCTGCTGTTTCTTCTTATGCTTCTCAGTCACTGCTCAAGGAAGGCCAGGCAGACTGAACTTTGCACGGGCCAGCTGGACAGCTCCCTGCATGCTCTGTTTCTCGTAGGAACACAGTACCCTTGTGATATATGAAGACACAGAAAGTACACTAATTTAATGTCTTGTTTCTTTTCCTTTTTCTCATTTTTTCTTCTGTAGGGGCCAGTTCACAGCATGCCCTGACCCAGTCAGCCTCAGAAGCTGTGTCCCCAGGACAGATGGCTAAATTCTCCTGCACTAGAAGTGGTGGCGGGAGCTGGGATAATATCCACTGGTTTCAGCAGAAACCTGGACAAAGTCCTCGTTTTTTATTCTACGGTACAGCCACCTGAGGCCAGGGCGTCCCAGACCAGTTCACCAGCTCCTATTCTGGGAACACTGGCTTTTTAACAATCTCTAACATCCAGAGAGACTGATAATTGGGATCCTCTGGTGAGGAACTGAGACAAAAACCTTCACACTTAATCTCCATGCTCGGAATACTTGAATCCCTGAAGACCACAGTCAGTCCCAAATGTGATTCTTCTGTTCTTGAAAATAATGTAGAAGAAAACAAGAGGATGTTCTTAGAGGAAAGAACTCAGGCAGAAAGACCTCACAGATTTTGCCACTGAGAAGGGGTCTACTCTGTGTGACCCTCCATTCTGGTGAAAATGGATCCTCTCAGCTCTTTATCTCCCCCTCCCCTTGGTTACTGTCTGTCTAGTCTTCATTCAGGTCCTCCAGTTTGTTGCCACCAAAGTTTCCTTCCTGTTTCTCCTCACACAATGTAGCTGCTAATTACGTTTAAATGGGAGGCGGACCCTGTCATTCAATCTGCGAGATGGGAAGGTCTTTTAAACTTTATAATAATATCATCATCCCTGGGGATATTCCTACAGCAAGGACCACCAACCCCCAGTTTTTGGCCTTGATCTTCTGCATGCCCCCCCACATGCACTTCCCTGCACATGCCCACACGTATGCACAGCCAGCCCACCCACATGGATGGGTGCCCCACCCACCCATGCGTGCCCACAAGCACCTCCCACGCACCCACGAGCATGCCCCGCCCATCCGCAGATGCACATGAGCATGCCCTGTGACCACACCCCACCCACCCATGAGCGCGGGGGAGTGCACTATCCCCCACGCGTGGACATCACACCCCCAGCAGGTCCTCAGTTCGAAAAATGTTGGGGAGCACTGTCTTAGAGGAAAGAAATCAGCAAGAAAGACTGCAGATTTTACTTCTATTGAGTCCAGTGAGATGGGTTTTCAACATACTTATATATTTTTATCACAGTTATTTTTCTCTCTCTGGATTCTTGCCTGTCATTTTTCTTCTCCAGAGTGGCAAGGTTCAGATTTTGTGCAGTATGTCCAGGACAGTTACAATTATTTGAAATAGGTTTCTGCCATTCCTGATTGGCTAAGATGTGTCCATTATTTATTGTGTACGGGGAATTATCCTCTTTGCCCTACAGAGAATGCAGAGGGGTATTGTTCGCAAAAGATGGTGCAGACAACATTGGCAGAGGAACAGGTTAAAAAAATGCCCTTTGTGTTGTGTT